GAGGGTGGCGCCGGCTGGGGGTGCCCGCCCCTCCACGCCTGCGGGAAGCGGAGGCTGGCGGGAGGAGGGGGCCGGGCCGGGAGAGGGACGGCGGGCCTGGGGAGAGGGCGTGCGGGCCCTGGAAGGGGGTCCAAGGGTTCGGGGGACTGGGCCGTGGCTGGGAGAGGACGGGGATGGGCTAGCGGGAGGGAGCGCGGGGGCCCGTCCCGGGGACAGCCATCTGTGTGAGCGGAGGTCTGCGTGGCGTGTCTGGGCCTCCCGCGTCCCGGCCTCTGTCCGTGCGGCACAGACACCGCTGCAGGCGGGGCTCGGGTCTCCGCCTCGCGGGGCGGCTCGCCTCGGGTGTGCGCGGACTCTGTCCTCCGCCGGGTGCGGGCTGCCCTCTGCCGGCCCAGCTGTGCGGGCTGGCCTTGGCGTCTCCGCGTGGGCGTGGGCGTGAGCGTGGGCCGGTGTGGGCATGGGTGTGAGCACGGTGTGGGCGTGAGGTCTGTGTGGGCGTGAGTGATCGTGAGCGCGGTGTGGGCGTGGACGTGAGTGTGATCGTGAGCACGGTGTGGGCGTGAGCGTGGGCGCGGTGTGGGCATGGGCGTGAGCACGGTGTGGGCGTGAGGTCGGTGTGGGCGTGAGGTCGGTGTGGGTGTGAGTGTGAGTGTGATCATGAGCGGGGCGTGGGTGTGAGTGTGATCGTGAGCCGGGTGTGGGCATGAGTGTGATTGTGAGCCGGGCGTGGGCGTGAGTGTGATCGTGAGCCGGGCGTGGGCGTGAGTGTGATCGTGAGCACGGTGTGGGCGTCTCCGTGGCCCGCCCCTCTCTGTGGGAGTCTCTGGCTGGTGAGCTTGCGTCCAGTGTGGGTGAGACTGGGCAGCTGGACATGGGCCCACAGCCTCTATCTTCTCGCCTGGCCTCTCCTGACATGTCTGGCCCTTAGAAGGCACTGGAGGGGCCGGCAGGTGGCATGCTGGTTAAAGTGTTGGGCTCCCACATGGCTGCCCACAGTTCAAGTCCTGGACCTGGCAGCTTGCTTTCTCACTGTCCCTGTCTCTCTCTGGTGAGTGCATGTATCCTATAGCAAATTAAATAATAATAATAAGTTAAATTAAATAAATAGTTCTTCCCCAAAAAGTGAGGCTCTGGAAGGACAAGGGGCCTGAGAGGGCAGAGTGCGTGTGACAGGGCCAAGGGGGTGCTGTTTCTTTCACCTTCTCAAAGGGTCTCCGCCTCTTGCCCCATTCCTTCAAAGGGGGGACTGATGTGTTCAGGGGTGAGTGCCACTCAGCGCTGTTCTGCACACTTTGCTGGAGCTGCCTCACTGAGGGCCTCCCAGCAACTCTAAAGTAAGGGTCATCATCCTCCCCAGTTTACAGATGGGGAAACGGGGGCTCAGAGACTTTAATGAATCACCCTGGGCCGTCTGGCTTCAGAACTCCCACGATTAACCACCGAACAGATGGAGAGCCTGGTTTATCCTTTCGATGAGACAAAGTTGCTGGGTTTTCCCAAGGGCACCTCTTCTTAGAAACAGTGAAAATGAGAAGGACGGAAATGCCAGAGAATGAAGGGGAAGAGGAGCCCCTGGCTTTGCAGCCCCAGGCCTGAGGACAAGCTGGGTCCTAGGTCACAGGCCTGTGCCTCTGAGCACCCTCTCCCAGGGCCGTGTTAGACTGTTAGAGGGCACTTTGCCTTCATGACTCTTTGTTCAATTTTTTTTTTAATGTTTGATTATATCTTCCATGAGAGAGAGAGCGAGAAAGGAAGGGGAGTGGCATGCCCACCACAGTGCGCCCCAGCCTTAGCCAGGATCACGGGGATGCACATGTGTGTCCAGCACATACAGGGAGGCCTCGGGACATGAACCCAGGACCTTCCCACGTAGCCTCAGCAAAGTGGAGCGTCGCATTACTGCCATGCCACCATGGCTGGGGTCTATTAAAAAAAAAATGCTAAAAATGATGCTTCCTTATTCTTTCTTTTTTTTTTTTTTAGATTTGCCATAGATCTCATGCCCTCGCCAGAGAGGCACATGTCGACATAGTAAGAGGGAAAGTGAGAAATCACCCCTGGGGGGTGGCCACTGTGCAGTCCCTTCTCCAGTCTCCTCCTGGGATCTTGGACACACACGCCCAGCATGATTTCCAAGCCCGCAGGGCCAGGACTCGAACTGTGGTTGGCCATGTGGAAGTTCTGCAATGTAACCGCTATACCTTCTGCTGGTCCCGGGACACATTTCTAAAGTTAAAGTCTGTTTCACACATTATAGCAGTTATATGAGTTGCTGCTCCCCAGGAAACAGTTCAAAGGAATAGAAAGAAAAAAGAATAGTAACCCTCACCCCCTTCTCCATCCCCTGTGCTCCCTCCAGGCTGCAGCCAGGCCTTGTTCTCCAGCCTTCCCCAGACGCTGGCCAGAAGTGTACACGGCCACGTCTCGGTCGGATTTCCCACAGAAGGGCTGAAGTTAGGCATTAAACCATGTAACCTGCTCCTTCACTTAGCGGAACTGTGGACATGGGAGCAGACGCAGAACTCACCAGCTCTCTGCAGGTGCCTGAGTTGGGGAGGCCGCAGCACGCACTTGGCCGGTCCTTTACTGATGGGTATCTGTTTGCTTCCAGGGGTTGGTTTGCTGTTGGTTGGTCTCCGGCCTCTAGCTGTGCTGTGATAGGCGTGTTTCCCTTTTACATGGAGCTTTTGTGGCTGGGGCAGATTCCCAGGAGCAGAGCTACTGGGTCTGCATCTTGCTGGCTCACTTGCCAGAAAAAAGCCAGCAGCTCACGCTCCTTCTGCGCCCCTGAGAGTGTTGGTTTCCCTGCTTCCTTGCCAGGCTTGAGGTTAGCCCAGTAGTCCATTCAGCTCTGTGTGCAGGCACCTCCCCGTCCCATGGGCCAGACGCTGGCCTGCATTCCAGAGACAGGCCACAAAGGCCTGGCCTGCTCCCACGGCCTGCATCTTCTGGAGGGAAGACCAGACAGGACGGCTTTTTTTGTTTGTTTGTTTTTAAAAAATAATTACTTATTTAATTTTATTTATTCATGCATTTATTTTAATTTGACCAGAGAGAGACAGAGAGAAAGTGAGAAAGCAAACCACAAGTCCAGGACTCAAACCGTGGTTGGCCAAGTGGGAGCGTCCAGCATCTTCACCACCACACCACCTGCTGGTCCCGAGTGCCGGGGTCTAGCCTCGGCGTGGGTGTGTTATTTTGACGGAGGCGGCGAAGGTGAATAGAAGACAGAGGCCTCGATGCTTTTATGCACGTCTTTCACACCGTGGTGGCCAAAGTGGGAGCGTCCAGCATCTTCACCACCACACCACCTGCTGGTCCCGAGTGCCGGGGTCTAGCCTCGGCGTGGGTGTGTTATTTTGACGGAGGCGGCGAAGGTGAATAGAAGACAGAGGCCTCGATGCTTTTATGCACGTCTTATGCCGGACACACTTTAAAGATCGCTCTCTGAGGAGTGACAACTGCTAGGAATTATTGTGCCTTTTTATTGAAAATGTGATACATGCAAGTAAATGGGTGAGGGGCAGTAAAAGATTTACTCTAAGGAACAGGGTATACAAAGCATGGAAGCAATAATTATAAAACATGTTGTTTGTCTTGTTAGCTCAGGTAAAGTCAATCACAGTTCTCAGGATGAAGAAGTCCATTTGTCTGCTGTATCTTCTTCTTGGATCTTGATTACTGGGAAGAGTCTTTTGAAGAGGGGGCTTGCAGGATGTTTGACAACTTCAGTCCCGGGCCAGGGCGATAACGTTGCTGGTTACAATGACCTAGATGGAAATCTTGTCTTGCTAAGTAAAGACACAGTTAATATATGGACTATCTATACATTACAACAATAGAGGATGAGTCTATGATCTTATATGGGAAAGGAAGATGATCTTGTAGCTCCGGAGACAACACAGGATGTTTTATTAGCAGTTTTTCATAGTCAACAGCACATAGATGAGAAACTCTTTGTAGTTGAAAGCTACCTGTTGCTTTAGATAAGAACTCCCAGCTAAAATGGTTAATCTTTCTGTGGAGCCCTCAGCTTTGTTTATTCTGTTGTCCCATCCAGGCTTTTTCCTCTAATAAATCTGTGGGTTCCTGCATTTTGTTTGTTGAGTCTTGTCAATTAGTGAGTTCTTTTGTTGTAACTCTGAGTCTCTGTTATGTGGTGAATGTGCTGACTTTGCTAGTGTGAGTTAACTTTGGCCTGTAGCTTTAACAAGGGCTAGCCTTAAACTAACTTAGTCTACATATGCTTCTAATGCTAATTTGGTTTATACTAACTTAATCTATATGTTAATTTTGGCTTAAAAACAGACAGGTGGGGGAGTCTTAAACTTCCTGATCCTCCTGTCAGTCTTAGGGAACCACATTCCTACAAGATCACTAATTGGCTTTATTGCAATGGTTGGGGGTGATGTTTTACCCTTCCAGGGTACCGTAACAACAGTAAAACTCACGGCAGAGAAATTAAATACCGGCCAGTTCAAGGACACAAGGGAGAGCTCGTAAACTGGGCCTTGCCTCAGTTTCTTCCCAGTCCAGGCCTTGCCTTAGGGATCTTGGGCACACACGCACACACGCCCGGCGTGAGTTTAAGCTGCTGGGCCTGGCACTCAAACCATGGTCGACTAGGGAACCAGCAGTTAGCATAATGGCTATGTTGCTGGACTCCCACATAGTCGACCGCAGTTCATGTCCCGGACCCGGTGGCTTAAACTTATGCGGGACGTGTGTGCGTGCGTGCCCAAGATCCCGAGAGGAGCATGGAGGAGAAGGGATTGCAGCGTGACCATCACCCCTGGGGGGTGATTTCTCGCTTTCTGTCTCTATGTCTCTCTCTGTCTGTCTGGCGAGCACACGCGCCCTATAGTGAAAACCTCTCCAAAAAAAAAACAAACAAAGAAAC